TTTGACAACGTCAGTTCGCCACCAGATTTGGAACAAGCTCTACCTAGTTAAAAATTGCAGAGTTAACGATTTTTGAAGAGGAGGATGAAAATCCAATAATTTTTAAAAAGTCTAAAATTTCAAATACGATATAGAGAAGATCGATGATAATTCTCATAGAATAACTCGGCAAATCCAAAAACGCAATAAAAAAACAGAGCTTTCTGTTTCTAAAATAACAAAGTTGATACCAACTTCCGATATAACCATCATAAAAATATTTTCATTGACTAGAATCTAACTGATTATGGCTATACATATACAAATTTTTAGACAAATATAGGTGTTCCGTTTTTATTGTTACAAATTTAAACAGGTATCTAATAGAAATAAACAGAAATCTAATAGAAAGTTTTCTATGAATATGTATCAAGAAATGTTATGTAAGCGAACTACACCTCCTGAAAGAGATGCGTTTTTTAATGGGGTTTTCCCACTATTGCAGAATAGATAAAATTACAAAAGTTGGTAAGTACAGCTGATAACTTTAAACCCCTGAACGAATTCAATGATCAGTTGTCGAAATTTTTAATCGACAAGCGTCTTAAACGAATTTTATTTTTAATTGTTATGCTGTTTATGATCTGTAATATAAAATTTAAAACTGATTTTACTCAAAAACTGTAATTTGTATCGAAAAAACGCAAGAAACCTCTTTTCTGTGAAAAACTTCGAAATTTTTATAGATATTTTTTTTTTAAATTTTTTCCATGTTCCTGGTATTGCATTTGCATTTTTTTCAATCAGTGATAAAAAAATCGCCAGTGCAGTCAATGTTTCGGGGCGAATTTATGATTAATTACTGTGTTAATAAGACCAAAAATGCCCTACACTTACATCGAGTATGCGGACATAGTATAGTGTACTGTTATGGTTTAGCAAACGGTAATGGAGAACACGCCCGTTTATTGTACCATTGATTAAACATATGGTTAATAATATGGATAATCAATGATTTTACCAACAACGTTTCCCAAATTAGAAAATTATATCAAAATCACCCTGTATACAAAATCTTAAAAAAACTATGTACAATTTATTGCTGCTACGACAAGAGTTTTATAGACAATTTATACAAATCGACGTCGTAGTTTAAATGCAAGCGAGAATTTAATAGACTGAATGAAACTTGAATTATCTTCACAATTTTTTCTAATTCTAATATTGATCAAAAATTTTACAAAATTTATAACAAAACATCAAGAGAATTGCATTTTATTTTTTTCTAAAATACGTTGTGACTGATGACGACGTATTTTATTTTATAGGACAGCGCACAACGTATATTAGCGGCAACATAATACCTACCTACCTAAAAGCTAAGCACCACACAAACAGTAAAAGATATTAGTGTTGGAAAAGCAAAATTTTTGAACAATCCAAATTTTTTGCTCATCAGGCGTTTTATAAAATTCACCTGAAAAAAATGTGTTGGGTATACCTACAGTTTACACCTTACGCACACAAATATAGATTTTCGTCTTCGGAGCACACATCATTTTTTGTACACCATGTCTTGCAACTAAAATATGTACGCATATCTGTCTGAAAATTAAGCCACATAAATGATTCTGAAAATTAAGCCACATAACCAAGATTCTTCTGCAGAATTTTGCTTTTTGGGAACTTTACGTTTCTACTTTTGTACAATTTGTCATTCGTGATTACCTTCATATGTGCGGTATATAATTTAATAGTATATTAAAGTACCTACAAGTTGCAGAAGGTATCTAGCTACGCGGCTCGTTTCGGAATTTCAAATTTGTGCTTGAAGAACCTTCTGCAACAAGTGCTTTATACTATTTTTTCTATTTTGCCGCTTTATAGGTATCACTTTATAAATTAAAAAACGAAAATTTTAATTTTTTTATTTAACCCTCTATGTTAAAATTGAATTTTATCTACTCTTTTTTCATGTTAAAATAAAATTGTATCATCTAGATGATAAAAAATACATCCATTGTTGTATATCTGCGGTAGTTAGTTGCTAACGATCTTTGGCATTAGATTTCATTGTTGAATTTTACTTTGACATTTATAAATATCGACCAAATTGACTACAAAATTAGTGAGGATTGAATAAAATTTTATATTGTACATACGACGATAAAATTTTCATTATCTTTTCGAGCATATTAGCGTCTCGGCTGACGCCTCGACACTAAATTGCTCTCACAGATAAAATTCAACTTTATCGTCTTGTATAATAAATAACTATTTTTCTAGAGAATTTTGCGACTCACATGACGTCATTAGGGTGCTGGAATAGACTTATTCTAAACACAACATAGAAAAAAGACTTTCACATTTAGGTACACTTTTTTTTCGTTTATATCAGTAAATGCACTATTTTGATAACATTGAGATAAGAATAAATTCACAGTTCTGCTCTATTGCCTTTAATCTTGTTACCCTCCTCCGCCTTAATCATCAAACAAAAATGATTATAATATACAGTGTGCTTTAAAATTCGCGTCTCAGAAAAAAATGCCAAGTAAGATAAGATACCAGGAACATTAAAAAAATGTTAACAAAAATTCTATCTGTCTTCTTTGTTTCCTCTTGTAATAAGCCTGCAGCAAAAAAATATGTAAAATTATTATTCTAACAAAAACACGAGTAAATAAGACCAAAGTGCAAAATTTACACCCTCATAATTTTTATACAGTAGGTACCTATGTCCCCGGAGTGAGTTTACAAGAGGAAAAAAATTATCTTTGATTTTATGCCAAAACTGCCAAAACAAAGGAAAAACATTTTTTGCTTTACCTGAAACTAGCAAATCTGTAATTAAAACTTGATTATTCTAACACAGTATTAGAAAGAAAAGTTCATTTTTTTCTTGATTTTGTACATGGAATATTTTTTCTCTGCTTTTTAAGTCCTATCACATTGGCGGTTTTATTATTTTGACACTGATGTCACTTTGACAAATGAGTTTACGCAAGTTAAATAACAAACATGTTTGTGAAAATTTTAATAAATGGCAACTCAAAGAAACAGCTTTAAGATAAAAACCAAAGTCATTTGTAACAAGAACTATCATTATTTAGTTAATAAATTAATTGTCAAAGTGACATATATGCATATGTATTGTCATTACATGTATACATGTATTTGTAGAATATATAAAACCGCCATTGTGATAAGACTTAAAAAGCAGAGGAAAATTAGTCCAAAATCAAGAGAAAAATTAACTTTTTTTTTCACTGAATTAGAATAATTAAGTTTTAAGTACAGTTTGCTCGTTTTAGGTAAAGCAAGAAATGTTTTTCCTTTGCTGCAGTTTTAGCGCAAAATCAAAGATTTTTTTTTTCCTCTTGTAAATCCAATCCGGGAACATACCTAGTGTAGATAGAATTTTTTCATATTCCTGAAATCTTAACTTACTTGACATTTTTTTCTAGAGCGCCGGTTTTGAAACAGCTTGTATAATATACCTATATACTTAATAATAGATCCAGCCATATGGATTACCATTAAATTGACATAAACTACAAATATTAGCAAAAAAGTTTTATAGAGTAGAGCATAATAAATATGTATAATAAAATAATACATTAGAGGCCTATTCTGTAACTGATGTGTTAATTTATAACAGTATGTTAAAAAATAACACCCTCTTAAATCCTAAATTGGTATTCTGTAAATCAAAATTATGTTCAAATTTAACCATTATATGTTAATTTATACTGTTAAAGTTAAAATTTTGAAGGGTGTTAATAGCATACCTTTAAAAAAATAACAGGGGTGTTAAATGATTGTCAAACTGAAATGGCAGCAGTTGRAGWGRTTTTATTTTTACAAAATGAAGAAGAAGWGGAGAAGACAACATACCGTCTTCAAAATAGTTGTATATTTGTAGCAATAACAATGTAATTAATTTTTTTAGTCGTCGCATGCGATTAATTAATAGAAACTTGCTTGATGCTGCAAATCCATTCGACTGGTCGGATGGTATATTTTTAAAATTGTTTCGTTTGAATAAAGAAGAGGCTCAATGTTTAATTAATGAAATTTAGCTTCACCGGCTTATGCTGCTATACCTTTTTTTGGTCATGGGAGTTATTAACTTGATGCGGTCTGTAGGTGTATTTTCCAAGTTACTGAAATTGTAACGGTGCATTTAATAAACCTTTGCATAAAATTTCCTCAAACAGATTAAGAAATTAATAATAAAAAACGATTATTTCTTCAAAAATATGACGACACACATGTAGCAATTTGAACAGGGGATTATGCGCAAGACAAGACTGACCAAACGTCAACTTTATACTTGCCAATTGCCGTCTAGATATTTAATTTAAATTGTCGCGTTTAATAGCTTTTCAAAAGATGAATTTCAACACAAAAGTAAAAAACAATTAATAATCTTGTAGTTTTGATGTTAAAAAGTATTTATATAGGATCAATAAAGTTAAATTAGGTATTCTCAAAAGTAATGCGATATGGCAACAGAGCTTCTTCTAACAGCTTTGTTATAAAAATGCAAAAAAGACAAAGAAATGTTAAAATTGTTGTGTAGGTACTGAATAAGAATTTGTGTTAAATTTTTAACAGACATGTTATAATTTAACATTTAACAAGACTGTTATTTTTAACACAAAAAGTACAGAATACGCCTCATTATTTTGTAAAAAAATATCAGAGAAATAAATAATGTGATTAATGTATTGTGGATAGCGTTGCATAACTAAAAGTACTCTTATTAGCGCAGCGAACTTTCCACAAAGTGATTGGTTTGTTAGTTTATTAATAAAAAGCGTGGTGGGGCGAAGCCGGTAAGTTCGCACGTTGTTGAAATTTGTGAAGTGCACGTGACATTCGCCATTCGGCTGAAAGGAAGGCAGCTGGAGTCCTGATAGCACGTTGTGGAGGGGCAAAAGAAGGCGGAGCCATTCTTAACAACTCCTGCTGAAGCGCAACAGTGTTCTCCGGAATTTCAGTTCCGACTACGTTGTTGGAGAGGGTGAATGTGTTCGCTCTCCAGTGGATCGTCGGATAGTCGTGTCGAAAGTCAACGGTCGTTACCAGTGATGATTTAACAAAAATTCCATCTAAACTAATTGTAGTGTTCTGCTAACGTTATAATGTATTCGACAGTACTATTGGTATTGATTAGTGTCGGAATTGTGAGATCGCGATCGTTAACTAGCATCGAGACAATACCACGAGGATGCGACTGGCAGATGCAACTGGTTGAAAATGAAGCCAGGGAAGAACCAGTGCTATCTTGCAGGATAAGGACTATTAACAGTGCCGGACCCTTATTGGGAAATCTAAGCCAGACCCAGATTGACCGTGTTGCAGTTTTAAAACTCGAATGTAGCGATGTGTTGTTTTTCGAAAGTTCGTTGGAAGCAAGCAACAAGCACGGAAGTTACTTCACCGGCTTGCGCTGGTTGAAAGAGTTGAAATTGGAGTTTTGTAAAATCAGGAATATTCCGGCCGGTGTATTAAAACCGCTGCGGCAATTACGCGCATTCTCCCTCCGTTCGCACAATTCAGACTGGTCTTCAATGACTCTGGAATTGCACCCCGAGAGCTTTCTCGGCTTGAGCGAGTTGCGCAGCCTGGATTTAGGCGACAACAATATTTGGAGTACACCACCGGATTTGTTTTGCCCGCTGTTCAGTCTGACACATTTAAATTTGACGATGAATAAATTGCAGAATTTATCCGCTCTTGGTTTTTCCGATTGGGGCAATGGGCCCTTAGCGCCGGGCCGGGCTTGTGTCAGCGGACTGGAAATCCTCGATCTGTCGCACAACGACATCATTGCCCTCCCTGACAACGGATTATCCGGACTGCGATCGTTGGAAGAACTGCACCTGGAAGATAACGCCATTTCGACGTTAGGTGATCGTGCCTTCGTGGGTTTGACAAGTTTGCACACGCTGAACTTATCCAGCAATTGTCTCGTCGCTCTTCCGCCAGAGTTGTTTCAGTCGTCCAGAGATCTGAAACATCTTTATCTTCACAACAATTCACTGAGCGTCTTAGCACCGGGACTTCTTGAAGGTTTGGATCAGTTGACAGTTCTTGACTTGTCGCGGAATGAGTTGTCGAGTCACTGGGTCAACAGAGACACTTTTGCCGGTCTCGTGCGACTTGTTGTTCTCAACTTGGCTCACAACGAATTAACACGAATCGATGCTAACTTGTTTCATGATTTGTACACTTTACAAATATTGAATCTTGAAAACAATCAGATCGAGTTTATCGCCGATGGGGCTTTTTCCGAACTGAAGAACCTACATGCTCTCACCCTAACCCATAATTTTATAACAAGAATAGAGGCCTACCATTTCTCCGGTATGTATGCCCTCAATCAACTACTGCTCGACTCAAATAAAATCGAATACATTCACCCACAAACCTTCGAGAACGTGACTAACTTACAAGACTTGGGTCTGAACGGAAACATGCTAGGAGGAGTCCCTGTCGGTATTGGGAAATTAAGGTTTCTCAAAACTTTAGATTTAGGGAAAAATCATATTGAGATTGTAAATAATTCATCGTTTGAAGGACTAGATTCATTGTACGGACTCAGATTGGTTGATAATCATATTGTAAACATCTCGAGAGATGCTTTCTCCACTTTACCTTCATTACAAGTTTTGAACTTGGCATCGAATAAAATTAAATACGTCGAACAGAGTGCTTTTGCTAGTAATCCGACCTTGAAAGCCATTAGACTGGACTCCAACGAGTTATCCGATATAAGTGGCGTGTTCACCAATTTACAAAGTTTGGTTTGGTTGAACGTTTCATCGAATAAGCTGCTCTGGTTTGACTTCAGTCATTTGCCCTCAAGCTTGGAGTGGCTTGACATGCACGATAACAAAATAACCGAACTAGGAAATTATTATGACGTAAAAAACACGTTGAAAATTAAAATGCTGGATGCTAGCTTTAATTTATTATCCGATGTACACGATAATTGCATTCCCGATAGTGTAGAAACCCTCTTCCTTAACAACAATAAAATTACAAACGTTCATCCAAACACTTTCGTCAAAAAAATTCATCTCCAGAAAGTGGTTTTATACGGCAATGATATAAAATACCTCGATATTGCCGCTTTGAGTCTCAGTACAGTCTCCGATGACAAGGATTTGCCCCAGTTTTTCATCGGTGGTAACCCTTTCTACTGCGACTGCAAAATGGAGTGGCTATTGCGGATAAACCACTTGAGTAATTTACGACAATATCCCCAAGTGTTGGATTTAGATACGATAACTTGTGAGTTGGCACATTCCAGAGGATCGCCTCCTCAACCGCTGCTTAGTTTGAAACCCTCACAATTTTTGTGTCCTTACAAGAGTCACTGCTTCGCTTTATGTCATTGTTGCGAGTTTGACGCGTGCGATTGCGAGATGACATGTCCAACAAACTGTACGTGTTTTCACGACCACACGTGGTCTAGTAATGTAGTCGATTGTAGCAATGCAGGCTACACAAACGTTCCCGAGAAGATACCGATGGACGCCACTGAAATTTACCTGGACGGCAATAACTTGGGCGAGCTCGGCAGTCACGTATTCATCGGCAAGAAAAAACTGGAAGTCTTGTTTTTAAACAACAGCAACGTCAAAGCCGTGCATAACAGGACATTCAACGGTGTCAAATCGCTCAAAGTCCTCCACATGGAAAACAATAATTTGGAAGAATTGCGCGGCTTTGAATTCGACCAACTGGAAAAACTCAACGAATTATATCTGGACCATAACAAGATCTCGTACGTCAGCAATCAAACGTTTAAAAACATGCACGACTTGGAAGTTTTGAAACTGGACGAGAATAAAATCGTCGACTTTATCCCTCATTGGGAAAATCCTGCTCCTGGTGCGGTTCCGCGCGTGACTCTCGACGGCAACAAGTGGTCGTGCGACTGCAATTCGTTAGGTCGTCTTGAGATTTGGATCCGGGAGACCGGAGGCGACCCTTCCAAATTATTTTGCGTCGATCGGGACGACTCCGAAACGGTGGCCGATGTGATCAACCGCTGTGATAATAAAGACAATGCCATTGCTACATCGGTCATTCAACGAGAAGTGCTCAAAAACAACCCGCTGTTAGGTGGCAGTTACGTGCCTCTTTTGGCCGCCACACTCGTAGCTGTTATTGTTTTCTGTTTGTTGGCTGCTGTCGTTTTCGTATTCCGACAAGACGTTCGCTTGTGGGCTCATTCGAAATATGGCATTCGAATTTTTCAAGACGCCGCCACTGCGCACGATAATAAAGACGAACGTGATCGACTCTACGATTGCTACATGGTCTACAGCCATAAGGATGAAGAACTGTCCGCCAGGATAATTGCCCCAGAACTCGAACAACTTGGACACACCCTATGCCTTCACAACAGGTTAGACTCATCCACAACAACTCTGAATTCTAATCTTGCTAGTCTTATTGAATTCATTCACATCAAAGAGATGTTACAATATTTTTATTTCCTTCTTCAACAAGATCGTTTTTAATACAATAATTTTGATGACTAATTGTTACGTGAGAGTCTAAATATTTTACATTCACATTTTATAATTGTAAAAGAACAAAATCAAACTGTTAAATTTTTTATAACAATTTAGAATATTATGTGGGTGGAAACGTTTATTTTATTTTTGCCTTTTTCTTGCTTTTGAGAAAATTAACTTCTAAGAAACAATAAGAATGTTTTTTCTGTGTATATTTAAAAACAAAAATTTTCAATATTTAATTTATATTTCTATTATTCCAACATCTAGAGAGCGATTCTTAATTCTTTATTGTATTTTATATTTGCTTATTTACTAAAGTGTTCAAATTACAAGAAAGTATACTTAGTTAAATTTAAAAAAATATATATATTAAAGAGAAACTTCTTAATGTTAATTGAATTGCCTGAGCAATTTTCTTTTTATAACAAATTTGGAAATAAGTTTAAAAAAAAATGTTACGGGTGAATTATCTACTGAGAAAAACAAAATTATTTTCTCTAGAACGGAGTTATGTTTTGAGATACAATGATAATGAAACTATCTTTGTTTATATAGTTTTTTATACTTTTTAGAATCTGTCCATGTATGGTTATGAGTGTTATGACCATCATTATTACGTTGAGTGGTTCAAGAGCAAAAAGTAGAGTTTAAATTTTTCATTTTTATGATGCGAGTATTATAATTTTTTTATTAGGTTTGTTGGAAAAAAAAACAAATTGTTTAGTGTTTTTATTGAAAAAACCTACTGTTTGTAATGAACAAACCCAAAAATAACTTATTTTTCTTTCAGAGATTTGGCGTTGCACGGCGGCGCCTCGTACCTCGCGGACGCCATGATGGGCGCATCGGACGCATCCCGCCGTGTTATTTTTTTGGTATCTCCTGCTCTCATCTGCAATGAATGGTCGCGGCCTGAGTTTCGCGCCGCACTCCAGACGGCTCTTCGCACGGCCCACCGTCACAAATTAGTGTGTGTTTTAAGCGGTGACCCCCTCGAGCCCATGGACCCTGAGCTGCGTGCTTTACTTCGGGCTTGCACGGTGACCCGATGGGGCGAGCGCCGTTTCTGGGAGAAGCTGCGTTACGCCATGCCGGATGTAGCCAACAGTAACCGGTCGCGACGCAGTAAGAAACATCACCAACCGGAAATCCGGTGTAAGGTCAGTGCGAGATACACGGCGGCGCCTACAGCTCCGGACTCTTGGTACAAATATTCGGCGATGCCGGGGGTTCACGCCGCAGCCCTTACACCCACGCCCACGCAAAGTACCTACGTCTCGGGGGAGTCAGCTCGGAGCACCGAGGACGAGGCAGGGTCTAGTGCCAGCAGCCAGCATTATGGCTCCGAGCAATTGAACCATAGTTATGTGTCTATCGATGGAAGACCGCCACAGTACACGCAGTATCCGATATGTAGGCAAGAAATAGCCCATCATCTGTACTCGACCATTCCGGATACGCAACCGCAATCTAGGACTTACTTTGTGTGAATGTAGTAAGTTGACTTAAAAGGCTGTTTTTAATTATTAATTATGACGGATAAAGCAATTCGTAGGGATTTTTCATAATTACTCAAATGTCACTAGGTTTTAATTACGATATAATAATAACTAAATTATTTGTTGTATATATTATGTAAATATGCGAAAACGATATTTATTTATACTGTACGTGTAGTACTACTTACTGAACGCTTATTAGTCACTATTTTAAGTATTTGTAAATAAGTCTAGTTTATACTACTTATCCATATTTAAGTAAAGACTGTTAAATATGTACATTATTCTTTGAAATATTAAACCTTTTTTATAAAGAAAATCATTTTTTATTCAATTACCTCTACATATACCAGGTGAATAAAAAGTATGGAACCAAACGTTTTTTGCTTAAACTATTTATTTTTTGAAAAAACTAATTGATGAGTGATAAAGTACTATAAAAATGTGATGATTTAACAAGAATAAAATTTTTCGAAGTTTTCTTTTGTTTTTGAGTTCTACAAAAAAAAATATTTTTTTAAATGGCAACCCACTATAAAATCATTTTTCTCATAAAAGCTATACTCTAAGGATTACAACTAACTATTTTGACAAAAAAAAAAACGCGTAACTCAAAAACAAAACAAAATTTCGTTCTGAAAATACGATCAAACTTATAAGATAGACATTTCTCAAAAGTGGATCGATCTATTTGCTTCTCTTACATTTTTTTTTAATACAGGGTATTTCAGTACTCGCATCCCAGAGAATAATGTCAAGTGCCGATGGAAATGCTCATTAGTGCACTCGAAGGAGTGCTCCCTAAAAGTTGGAAGCAACTTTTGGGAGTGGGTACTTCGTTGTGATGCTGCTGAGCGCAGTTCACCTTAAGGATTACCGACCCTTATTAGCCTCATTATACCTGTTTCTAAAACTGAGCGCAATTCACTCTGTCTCAAAATAAATAGAGTCAAAGTGCAAAATTTAAACTCTCATAACATCGAAATTTTCATAAATATGTTTCTGGTATCTTGCATTATATGGTATTTTTGTCTGGGGTGCGAGTTCTGGCCGACTCTGTATACACGATGAATAGAAAGTATAGAACGAGGCGTTTTTTCGTAAACTAACCACTTTGAAAAAAATAATTTGTGTAGCGTAAAGTACAATTAAAATTTGACCGTTTATCAAGAATAACATTTTTCGAAATTCCTTTTAGTCTTCATTTTACATTTTTTTTAATTAAAGACTAAGATCTAAAAATGACTTCTAATTAAATAAAATTATTTTTTAATTAGTAGTTTTGTTTTTAATAAATTCGTAAAGTTGCGTACTGAGTTTATCACGAAGATTTTCCGAACTGGTCGTCTCATGCATTTAATTTAACTAAAAGGAATTTCGAAAAATGTTACTCTTGATAAACGGCCACATTTTTTTTTATTGTACTTTACGCTACACTAAGGTCCACTTTCATAATCGAATTTAAAGGAGCTTTCAATTGAATGTTGTTTCTTACTATGGACTTGTTAACATTCTAAACCAACCTTAACTCTCTTCAATTCGATTATGAAACTGGACCTAATTATTATTTTCGTAAAGTAGTTAGGTTAACGAAAAAAAAACGCTTGGTCCCATACTTTTTATTCACCGTGTATGTACAAAATATCTAATCACATTAGAGAATAAGTACTTATACTCCGTCTAGGGAACATATGCAATTGTAAATTTGCGTGATTCTTGAAAAATGCCTTGCCATTCGTAAATAGGCAAAGTGCGCAATGGTTTGGTGAGTTTCGAGGTTTTCGTGGAACACGAGCTCGGGCTTTGTGAGACCCAATTAACGAGGCAAAATTTTTGTGCTATGTAAGTTCGGTTTCTAATGTGCACGTGATCCAAGCGTGATTACTGCACTGATTGAGCGGACGGAGTATAGCTTCATTGAAATAGGTACTATACAATACCTCCAATCAGACGGAAAACGTTCAAAATAAGTATAAACACAACAAACTTAAATAAAAAAAATCCGAAAATTTGAATTATTATTATAATCAAAGTAAAAATAAATACCTAATTCAAATAAAAAAGAATTGATAATACCACTGTTTTAATAAAAAATAAACTATGTATCTTAATCTTATAAATTAAGTAAAATTATATTGTGTTACCTACTAAATCTTTTTACGTTGTATATACTAATAATAGTAGCATAACAATTTTTTTTAATTTTTTGATACATGTCTAGAATTAATGTTGAAAATTATGCTGTCGTGAGAAAATGTTTTTTGCTGTGAAATTCGGCAAGTAGAATAAACCTAAAGAACTAGTTAAGTATGCAGGAATACAGGTACACAATGATGCAGTAATTGCTCCGCCAATTTTCTTTCGCAATTTGTATACAAAAGACAGTTCAAATCCCATTGATAAAAATCAAAACGGTTTCACCTCACTTTAAGCCGTAAATGTATTAGGTTTTACCACACAGGTAGAACTACCTGCTTCTAATATACCCACCCTAAAAGCGAGAAATTCTTTACTTAAATCGCCGAGTGGAGAGTAAATGTTGTTTGAAAGATTTTAGTTGTAAATATTAAATAACCCGGACCGATAAAAATTTGTAATAAATAACTTGTCTATAAATATTGCTGTCAAATTTCATTAAACGGTGTTTATACGAAATAATGCAGATTTAAGTTTGGGTGGTCAAGTCTGTAGATAGAGTTAATCTCGTGATTAATTGAGTAAGTTTGAAAGTTGTTTTTATGGATTAGTGGGGACATGGAAACGCATAAATAACACAGCCGCTATTTTTTATTCTAGGTACAATCTATAAATCAGCCATCTTTCAAGACGATGATTACATGTTTCTATTTTAGACTAAAAATAATTACAATTTTGGCTGTTGCGGTTTTAAGTATTTGTAAGATGAAAATGGATGCATATACATTTTGCCTTTTTTAAAATCTTACCGTACATTTTACTATGTCTTGAAGTGGAAATAAAACTTTAAGGGTTGTTACAAGTTAATTCCAATTGCATCCTATCGGTCGCATTTTACATTGACAGAACGGCCTAGAGTAACCTGCAATGAACATAAATAGATAATGCAAGTGTATAAGAGGATTTATGAGGGGCAATCCAGCGTATCCAAATAAATCTGCTTAGTTCTTTCGGACAGTGTGACGGACCGCCAAACATCTTCCAGTAAGTTGGAAAAAGAAGGATATTGTAAGCGTATAAAATTGGACATTTCTTCTATTGCCGCTCAGCTTCTGCAAACCAATTTTACTGTTTTCAATCGGATTCACTTCAGTAACACGCTAGGATGAGTTCTGCATTTTTGTTTTCTTTTTTCCACCAAGGTTGATGTTCTTTTAATTTTTGTGACAGAAAGAGAATTCAAATGATTGTATGTTTCTAATCATTTGAACTCTCTTGTCCCAAAACCATCAGCTCTACGTTTTACAACTTGTTGATATATAATTTTATAAGTTTTGAACTTTCTTAGGAAATTGCAATTTTCTTAAAAGTGTCCTCCAAGCTTTTACCTACAATTTCATGTCAGTGCAGCAGTTATAAAGTCATAAAGCAACAAAACCAACTACTTACCACCCTATCATAAAGAAATAAACATTTTCGGAGAACAACAAAAGTCGGTACTTGTTTATTTACTTAAGTGGTTATGGCGAAATAAGGGTTGTAAATAATTTAATAGGTTTATTTCTTCCCGGCAGTTCATTGCCTTCTAGTTTCAAAGTTCAGTGCTTCCACGAAGCCGATTTTTCTTGTAAGTTTGACTAAAACGCTTTTTATCAGCATGATTAGGTATGTGTGCACTCGTCAATGATTATTAAATAGCACAGAACAATAACAATGCAGGTGAATCTGAACGTGAACAGCATATTACGACAAAATGTGGGGGCTGTGGTAGAAATTTTAACCAAATCCGTACCTGCTGGGTGTTTCAAACTCTTTCCGAATTAAGGATGAATAATGATGGACTGTGTTATTAACTGGAACAGATGTCGTTCGCAAATAGACTAATGCGTTATTAACATAATTGGGGTTTAAATAAAAACTGTTTACCGTTGGAAAGATCGTATCGAAAGAAACATTCAATTTGCCTGAGTAACGTCAAACAAATTTTATATTAATGACTCTTTTACAATAATATAAGAAATACACAAAGATTGTATTCTACTTGGTTCTTTTTTTCTACTACCGGTTTCAAATTAAATTCGTTTATGGTTGACGTATTGCGATAATTGACATTTTTGCGTTAAACAGAGAGTTAAAAAGGTTTCCATTTTTATCTGATGAAAGGATTAAATAAGAAACGGAATAAATTCCTTTTCAGTCATTTCTAAATTATTTGAAATAGGCACAAAAATGTAATCCTTGGGACAATTTTTAACTAAAGCAGAACAAATCACTTTTTGCATTATCTTTCCGCGGAATTTACTGGATTCAAAACGGTTTTCGTTTTCTTCTTTAGTGCTTTATTATTATTATTTATGTTAATTGATTTGTAGACAGTAACGCAAAAAATGAAGAATTATAGGTTTTCCAAGAAGTATATTGCAGGATAATTCAATCGTTGCAGTAAATTGCTTCTATTTTATTATTTATTATACGAGAAGATATTTTAAATTGGTCACGATTCCTATTGTGATAATTACTAAAAACGCCATATTGCTACTTTTAGTAAACTCGATAAGTATTTCATTAACTATCGGGATTATGATTTACATTAAGTACTCCAAACGATTTAAAACAAAATGCTTCAACAGTCGAATTTAATTTAGGACGCATGTAATGCATCATTAGCAGCTAACGGTTTTCTGTAATAACTCACAATACGTCTAATGAAACGTTCCCCACATGAATTCGACTATGTACACTTCACTAATATTAACCTGCAAGCGAAAGCAACCGTTATTAAAATTTCTTCATTAATGTATATTGTGTCTTCTAGAGCATCTGCATCTGTTTTGGAAGAAAAACAAATTAAACGAAAAATCAAACTGTCGAAAGTAAATGTGTCAACAGCGAGCTACTATAAAGACTGAATGTTTATTTTCATTTGCTTTGATGGCGGTTTAGGTGTCGATTGCCAAGAGTTCCTTTCAAGCATTATTTCAAGAGGGGAAACTGACGACTAAAAATGTAAATGAGGGATACTAAAATTATTCACAACGTTTTTGCCAATTAATAAATAAAATTGATTTATCAGAAAATTAATTAATTTAATTACAAGGGCTTAAAAATT